CCTAAAAATAGCAAAACATCTTATAAAGCAATTAATTAAGTATACTTAAAAAGAGCTTAAAATAAAAAAAAACTAGCAACAAATAAATAATTTTGTTATGAGTTTTGATAAATGGCGGTTTGTCTGCTGAGAGCGATATCGTAAGAATATTTTTTCTACTTTAAAATACAACTGTTAAATTATTGCATATTTATATTCTATGTTGGTATATACTTTAAAACGACTACAAAACCTTTTATTTCGCATTTTGCCTTAATAAAGTTAAAGTTTGCTTTACTTGTTTAATGTTCTTCCAAAAAATGTCACAATTGTACCCACAAAATTTTTTACAACCGTGCCGAATGAACATTTTCGAAAATAAGTCATCGTTATGACTGACAATGAGTTAGATAATTTATTTGTTGAACCAGTATACCAGCAAAATGATCAATTTGTATAAAAGTACCAGTTATTACTAAAAGAAATCAACATGGAAACTTATGTTTGTCTGTTTAAAAGCAATGCGGTGTACAGAAAATGTTAATTTAAGGCGTTGACTCATTGCAATAATGGAAGCTCGGTCGAACAAACTTACTTCTTCTTTCTCTTTTTGGACACTATCTCAAAATCAGTACAGTTTAGTAGTTATTATCACTAAGTTCTCAAAGATTGTATATATATATTATGATTGTATGTATATTATCAAAGATTGTACAGCAGGAAGTTTGCTTTATATTTATAACTATATTAATTTTAGTTAATTTTTTAAATGATGATTCCATCCGAATTTACAATGAGATACATAGAATATCTCTATTAATCTTATCCTATATGTAGTAGATTTTGATAAAATGTTTAATTTATTAAGTTATTTCATTCTGTAGCAAATTGTCCTCCAGCTTGATATCATTTTACCACCGAAGCATCGGACGGTTGCACAATGCCGGATACACAATGGCCGGTTATGACGCGCGATTGTTGCGACCTATGTCTGCTTCGCCTGCAAAAATATAATAGTTATTGTTGAAAAGTTTACAGAGTTGTTTCTGCTGCACATGCTGCATAAGCGGACTCGTGTCAGGGAAAACATGTTCATGTACATATGTGTACACGTAGCCTTATTAAGTTTATATTATCTCCATAAAGTTTTTAGGGGGTAATATATTCCTTTGAAGATGAACTTATACAAAGCAATAGTTAAAAACTAATGACAATAATCGTTATAGCTGAGGGGTTTAGTACAAAATTGCGATAAAAATCATATTACAAGCCATAATCTGCCATTCATCGCAACAACAAATATTTTTTTTTATTTCTCTTTATTGAATTACAATCTGTCTTTACAAAAAGGAAGACATTCAGTAATTTCGATGATATATGAAATAACAACAAACAAATATGACAAGTAATTTTTTACATATAAAAGCAAATATCCTGGGTCTTCTATAATTGTACAGAATTAGTATCGTGAATTTCTTAATTTCATATCAAAATGTATCTATTGTTAATACAATTTTTCTAGGTAGTTCCATGTTTTTGCAAGTAGTCCTAGTAAATTTATTGTTTCAAAGTGAGTAGTACCTACATTTTTTTTCTATTTCGTCGCTGTATTATATACACAGTACCAGTACTCTGGCAATTGTCAATGTCTAGTGCTATCTGCAGTGGAGCATATATTGTTGTCCTGAGGGAAAATCCCCTCAATCCCTGCTTGACCGACTTGGTCGCCTTATAACTAGGATACTACTGTTTGTAGATCCCCCGAAATTTAGTACAGTTGCGTACTCTCTGGCAATTTACTCTATATTTTAGTGACTCAAAGTGTAATAATCATTGCTAGAAGCAAATGCTTCTAAATTATATTTTTATATGAATGTAGATTTTCATTTATCCACAAGAAGATTTGGTTAATATTGTTTTCTGATGATTTCAATGATATCATTCAAATCGTTTGACATGAAGAATCACAAAAGTATATTATTTAAATAAGTGTATGTATGTATGTGGGCACGCTTTCTCGATATTTTGTTATAAATACCAGTTCCAACAATTAAAACCCATTTGATAAAACCATATGAGAACTCACCATGTCTAGTTTTGTGGGACGATCAGCGCAAACGTTCTTTTTAAAATAGCAGATAATCGCAAAATATTTCGATCACATTTTTGTCAAAAATCTTGAACCAATTGCGAAAATTGAAAACCAGTCCGGGAGGTATCACTTGGAAATTGCTCTGTTATGCTTTTCGAACCAGAGGCCGGGCTGATTCTTTGTAATCAATTGTTGAACTTTTCTGACGATTGCAATGAAGCTTTTTATGATGCTAGAGTTCATAATCTTAAAATATTGTTTCTACAGAAAACTGGTTCATTATAAATGCGTATTAATATTTGGAATAACTGGGCAGCAGCATCGAAGTATAAAAGTTTTATTGTAACAATTTTAAAATTTATTAAATCCCAATTCTTATTGATTGAGATGATTATTTTCACATTTTGGGAATATTATGCAAATTGTTTTATTCTAATATGCCAATAACACCTAGTTTGCCTGTATTTGTTAAAATTAAAAATTTGTGAAAACGTCAGTTTGTTATGATATTCATAACCCATTACATATATAAATGCAGAGCATTACTATTATATTATTATTTTGTATCAATTTTGTTTTATTTATATAGTGTTTAAGATATAAAATCTTCAGTTTATTATTAAATATATGCAAGACTTATTCAATACGTTGCCTAATATAAATTCAGTATGTTGCACAACTGTTTTGTTATGATTTGTTTTATACTGTGCTTTGAAAAATATTTAGTAAAGTGATTGCCTTGTTAAACTATAGGTAAAGGACTAGATAAATTACAATTATTAGTTTAAACAAAATTATTTCTGGATTTTATCATTTGTCCTCCGATGCTACCCTGTGGCCAACTGGGGAGTTAAATGTCACATGCACACAACACAGACTCTAGCGGCTTTCCTTACGGATGAATTATCTTGCTAAGCCGAGAACGGCAACCCATACTTGGCACACGCCTCGTAAGTCATTGGAAGGGGCAAAGCTATCGTCCTGTCATGCAGTTTAACTGAACACCATATAAATATAAAGCGAAAAAAAATCACTCTATTCTCCACACGTATAAGATCCGTATTTCAGATTACAACATGTGTTTTGTTTGACAAGATAATTCAATAAGTGTAGTTATTTGGCTTCTATCTAAGGATGCTGAATAGGGATAGTTTTATACATGTTGTTGCTAATATCGTTGCAAAACATGCGTCTAGATTTGAATCTCTTGTTTTCGGCCAGTATTTCAGTAACTTGCCAAATACATGTAGATTTTGTATTTGCATATACTACGTATGCAAGTTCAATCGCCCAATAGTAATTAGACTTTCTAAGGATATTTTTTTGGTCTTTTGATATATATATATATATATATATATATATATATATATTAGTAGTTATTTTGATGTTGAAATATATGATGAGTTCTTGAGGGCGATACATCAAACCAAGAAAAGGCAACATTTATAAAATAATCTTTAATCCAAACGTTTCCACATACAAATTGATGTCATCATCAGTGGATACTGAACATGGTATTTTATATCTAAAAATGTGTAAACAT